ATTATAAAACAGATGGATAAAACCACAAAAAATATTTTAAAATAGCCCAATCTTTCGTGAATAAAATAAGAATGGATTTAGCTAAATCGGTCGAGTAGTATCTGAGAAAAAAATTCGTAAGTGAAGCCTGTTTATAAATTAATACATAGTGTGTCGCAACTAGTCTTCTTCTGACTGGTTTCCCTTAAAATTTAAAATATTTCATTATTATAAAGCAGATGGACAAAGCCACAAAAAATATTTTAAAATAGCCCAATTCTTTGTGAGTAAGACTAAAAAGAATTTAGCTAAATCGGCCGAGTAGTTTCCGAGAAAAAAATTCGTAAGTGAAGCCAGTTTTCGTAAAAATGGGTAAATATTGCAAAATTTGAAGGCTTATTTTTTAACAAATTCGAAACCGGTAAAATGATGACTTAAACCCCCCTTAATTTCACGTGAACTACAACATATTTTGATTAGAGGAAAGATGGTGATGTCGAAAAGATTTGAATGAGCCAATAGTTCTCTAAAATTAAAGTGAGAACGACACGTGGAAAACAAAGTAATAGATTCAAGAATAGATTTGCATAGTTTAGCGGAACAATCCGCAGTTTCGATGCACAAATTTTCCGAATGATTTTAATACTCTAACATGTCTGCGATTCAATTTCCTTAAAGCGTCCTCGTTCTAAAGGTTCAATCTAAAATATGTTCACGTATACATTAAAATCGATCGTTCCGAATGTGTCTTCATGAAAATGACTAGTTTACGCAGATTCCAATCGCGCGTGTCCATTTTACCGGATCGAGTTGAATGTAGGACGGCAAATATGGAGGAGACAGTTACTCACGGTTATAGGAGGAAAGCATTTGGCACCTGAAGCGTTGCATTTGCAGATTTGTCCGCGTCTACTCGCAGACGTTCTCCTTCCCCGTGGAAAATTGTAATGCGACGTCTTCTCGCGGACCGCCGGCTTTTAAGGGATTTATCGAGCTCCACATTAAATGGCACTGATCTTAGTAAATCCAGATGGAATTCTCGTGTTTCCGTCACTTGGCGTGGTTTCCAGGATTTGGCGGCAACCGTTCTACGTCTAACGCCAAAAATCGATTTATTCGCATTAATCGTCGGCTTGCGGATCGCGGGACATACATATTTCCATATTAGGATTAAGTGCAACCCCGACCCTCGGAACTCGATGTCCGACGTACAAAAACGCGATGAGAAATGTACCCCGATAACTACCAACTATCTGTTGTAACACCGTCGCGACGTACAATTCGCTGTAATATATAAAACCCATTTTTGTTCTGAAAATTCTGCAGTCTACCGCTAAAATCGACCATTTCTCGTGTTCCCGATATCGTACATTTTCTTCTACGGAATCTACGCTGCGAGGCATTAAAATTTAACAAGTGTTTATGTCATCGTTTCGCGGTTTTTTATTCGCTTTAAAAAAAACAGCTCTGCAGTTTGTAATTTTCTAACTGAATTTCGCAAACTGATCTTGTAATGCATTTTTACCTCGCACGTTTTTCCTTGTTTATTAAATATGAGATTCCTTCTTTTCCTTAAGGAACATAAATCTTAAAGTTACATGGACCTAAAAATTCCCTACATCCTAGAATACTCAGGATAACACATAAATCATGAAACTTCATGTCCTGAAAACCGCAGATCCCCAAAGCATTAAAATTCACTATCTGAAAATCTTTAAACACAAAATTCCCTAGCTCCAAATATCCCTATATTCTCAAACCTAGATCAAAGAACTCTAACGCCCAGAATCTATAGATCTCGAACCACAGACTCCAAGTCTCCATATTCTAAACACAAGACTCAAAAAATTACTGCATTCGAAAATCCCTAGATTCCACAAAACCGAATCACAACAATCCCTAGATGGTGCAGAAAATTCCCTAAATAGTAAGAGTTCCTAGCGTAGAAATTTCGTAGTGTAAAAAATCCCTAGAAAACAAAAATCCCTAGATCCTATATAACCGAATCACCAAAATCCCTAGATGGTGCAGAAAATTCCCTAAATAGTAAGAGTTCCTAGCGTAGAAATTTCGTAGTGTAAAAAATCCCTAGAAAGCTAAATTCCTAGATCCCAGAAAACTGATCACAAAAATCCCTAGATGGTGCTGAAAACTCCCTAAACAGTAAAAATTCCTAGCGTTGACATTTCATGGTGTAGAAAATCCCTAGAAAGCATAAATCCCTAGATCCCAGAAAACTGATCACAAAAATCCCTAGATGATGCTGAAAACTCCCTAAATAGTAATCATTCCTAGCGTAGAAATTTCCTAATGCAAAAAATCCCTAGAAAACAAAAATCCCTAAATCGCAGAAAACCGATCACAAAAATCCCTAGATGATGCTGAAAACTCCCTAAATAGTCAGAATTCCGAGCGTAGAAATTTCATGGTGTAGAAAATCCCTAGAAAACAAAAATCCCTAGATCCCATATAACCGAATCACAAAAATCCCTAGATGGTGCAGAAAACTCCCTAAACAGTAAAAATTCCTAGCGTTGAAATTTCATGGTGTCGAGAATCCCTAGAAAACAAAAATCCCTAGATCCCATATAACCGAATCACAAAAATCCCTAAATGGTGCAAAAAACTCCGTAAAAGTAAAAATTCCTAGCGTAGAAATTTCCTAATGTAAAAATCCCTAGATCTCATATAACCGACTGAGCAGAATCTCTGATTCCCTAAAATCCCTAGATGGTGCAGAGTAAATCCAGATAATTTTGTTTGCACCCATTTTAATCGATGATTAAATACCGTCTACCCAGAACGTTTCAAGGGTAATTAAACTTAATTATGGCATTGAAGATGAGAGTTTGTTCATTGTTATCTTGGAGATTCGTGTAATGCAACTATATTACATACAGTAAACACTGTCCAAAAGTTCGACTTCAGTTCAGTCAGTTCGCCGCTCAAAGTGGCTTAGCGGGAACAAAGGATTAGAACAGCGTGTACGGCTATTAGAGTTACAAGTACCGAAGCTAATGAAAACAGAATTGTAATTGGCTCTGACGACAATTATTATACGTTGCGCGTGAAATAAGCTGTTACCGACTTTCCACAGAGTTTCGCCCGCCCATGAAACAATCGTTGAGGGTTTTGCGCACTGGATAAAGCGCAATCGATTCGGAAATTATAATTTTACGGTGCGGCTTTCAAAAGCTACGAATCGTGCAAAAGATACGGGAACGATTAGAAATCGTTCGATATGATATTAGATAATTTTCTAAATAGTTATGCGCGGAGATTGTACTCTTAAGGTATAGAATTTTCAACCTAGGGAAAGAATTCTAGAGGAACCGTCTGAGAAACTGTGGAATTTCCGAACTCCTCTATTCTGTGAGCTAAATTTATTTTGTGAGCCCTGTTACTCAAAGTATGCAGATAAATCGCATCACCGGCAAATTGGATGTAATTTACAGCGCAAATGTACGACGAAAGCTGTTGTAAATCGATTGGCGCCGAAGGTTCGCGATTCTCCGAAAATATGGGGATCCATCGAGGATTTATCGGTTTCGAAGGCGTCGTTACTCAAAGAACCGTCTTCTGGCGCGATACAGGATGACCAGGGAAAAAAGAAAAAGCCGTGATAGAATGACCAGCAGGATCCGGTAGGCCACTGCATCTCGCTCGAGAGAAGAATAGAAGAGGGGTTGGAGAATAGACAGTGGAAGGTAGTAAGTGGGCTAGTAAGTCTCGCGATAACAGTTATAAATGACCCTCTCGAAGCACGGCGCCGCGACGACCAACCCCTCAACTACAATCCAGACACTGGCTTCTACGTAACCCCTAACACATACCCGGACGATATAATCGTAAAAGGTACTAAACAAACATACGCTAAGTGGCTCGGTTTGCCGCGTGGTGTACGTTTCCGTTACCGTGTTTACAGGCTGTCTTTGATCGATAATTGTACGTAAAACGTTGCACAGTCACGGATAGGGTTTTCGCTACACCGACGTCACCTTTCGGAAGAATATATCTACGTTCGCGGTCTACCACTCGAAAAGACATGCTTTATGCTCTGGCCGCTTTTCACGCCGACGTAATTACGATGTTTTCTAAACGCGACCGTCTCGAGAATCCTCAACCAGGTTAGAGAACTAATGTCTCAGCCCTGAAACTGTAGAGGAACGCTGCCAGCCCTTAATTTGTTTACTATTGTCTCACCGCACTCGAACGTCACACGTACCGTGTCTAATGTTGTGTGTACGTGCTTTCGATTTTACGAACGTACGAAAAATGTAGCATAAAGGCAATGCATGTTGTAATACAAAACGGAAAACCATGTAACTTCGAGAAAATATCGCGAGAAACCGTAATATCAAAGTTTGAATACGTCAGAATCTTCTAGAAAGTAGTGCTTCCATATTGGGAAAATACCCGCCGAATTATCCCATGACAGATACAAATCTATCAATTACTAAACTTGACATTTTCGTAACTAAATAAGTTTATCCCACAGAAAAGATTACATAATCGAATCTATAATAACACCAAAATAAATATAAATTTAATGTACATTACCTTTCCGTCCTAGAACTCCTGCGAAAATCATTTTTCAAGCAGCTAAAAGCGAGGGAAAACGGTTGCAAAACTGACGTAGAGTGCGCTAGTTGTCGAACGCAGTTCAACAGTACTGCTCATATTCCTACATTCGACAAATCATCTTTATTGCAATTACAATCGTAATTACGCCTTCTAATTGATACATTTATGCAATAAAGGGATAATAGTTCATGAAATTACCTTTGTGGCATGCACAAGTCCATTGTTCATACTTTAAAGCTGCAAAATTGTACGAAACGCAAATTGAACTCCCAGGAGAAGGAACGCAGGCGCTGTAACCGTCCTGACTGACCGGGTGAAAGTTAGACGGTTTGAAATGGCTGCGCGCGACGCTGTCGCGCATGCGCAGAGGATGTATACTAGACCCGTCACAGCAGACGAGCAGCAACTATCATGGCGCTAACTTCGTATATCGATTTTGCTCCTGTGGGATGCAGAACGTTTGGATTTTACTGATTATATTTCTCAGTTGCTGCCAGTAAAAGAGGTATTTTGTGCGTTTTTCGTATTTCACGTTCAACATGGTTAACTCGAGAGTCATTGTGCACGGTGTTCGTAAATGAACGTTTCTCCATACTGGGAGTGGTCGTACCAGCTCAATCGAATATAAATTTGTAAATAGAAATAATTAAAATGAGAATATCGCTCGGTATTCTACTCAATACGCTTAATATCATACACGGTAAGTTCCCCTGTATTTCGAAATATTTAAAAATTGTTCATTTATTTTGAAATAACGTGGAAGTTTTCCACGAAAAAGTTGCTAATTATGACAGAAAAGATGTTTCGTTTAGGTATAGCCGGAATGAAAATTTATGAAGCAAATCCTGATACCAAGAGGCTTTACGATGATTTGCTGTCCAACTACAACAGACTTATACGCCCTGTTATCAATAATACAGAAACGTTAACAGTTTGGCTCGGCTTGAAGCTGTCGCAACTCATCGAAATGGTATCGAATTACAAGCATGTTTATATTAAAAATAGTATACATTTTAATAATTCTTCTGTGATTGTAGAACTTGAAAAATCAAGTGATGACAACGAATGTCTGGGTGGAACAGGTAGGAAAATTTATAGCTGAATCCTACGAGTACATGAACAAATTAAAGACGTTTATTTTGTGAACGCAGAAATGGTTTGATTACAAACTACGATGGGATCCAGAAGAATACGGCGGCGTGGAGATGCTTTACGTGCCTTCCGAGAATATTTGGCTACCAGATATCGTATTATACAATAAGTATGCGATATACGAAACATTATGAATACATTAAATATAATCAATTCATTTATCTCGCGAAAAATACTAAGAATTTATGATGCAAAGATTGTTTATTTTTTAGCGCCGATGGCAATTACGAAGTAACGCTTATGACGAAGGCAACTTTAAAATATACGGGCGAGGTATCCTGGAAGCCGCCAGCAATCTATAAATCATCCTGCGAGATTAACGTGGAGTACTTCCCGTTTGATGAACAATCGTGCATCATGAAATTCGGCTCTTGGACATATAATGGCGCTCAGGTAATAACCCCTTTATTAAACCATCGTTCGTTCGATAAAATGAAACGAAAGAGCGAATTAGTTAGCATTGTACGTCGAAAATATGTTTTGTAAAGACCTTTAATCGCAGGTGGATCTTAAACATATGAAACAAGTACCTGGCAGCAATTTGGTTGCAACAGGGATTGACTTGAAAGACTTTTACTTATCGGTAGAATGGGATATTTTAGAAGTACCCGCGTCAAGGAACGAGGAGTATTATCCTTGTTGCAAGGAACCCTATTCTGGTAAGCTTTTTACACGAGAAAGATTTTCAAACTTAACAATGTTGTAATAATATAAAATCTTTTTGTGCGCAGATATCACCTTTAACATTACGATGCGAAGAAAAACATTATTCTATACGGTCAACTTAATCATCCCGTGCGTTGGTATAACGTTCCTTACAGTACTTGTCTTCTACCTTCCAAGTGACTCCGGCGAAAAAGTAAGTAAAGTATAAATAAGATGAAAGGGTTATATCAAAAATTGATATTTTTTAGGTGTCACTGTGTTCTTCCATTCTACTCTCGCTGACAGTGTTCTTTTTACTACTAGCAGAAATTATACCACCTACGTCACTGGCCATTCCGCTTTTAGGAAAATACTTGCTATTCACTATGATTTTAGTCACGTTATCGATATGGATCACTGTATGCGTACTGAACGTTCATTTTCGGTAATTTATATTGCAGTAATATATTTGTGGAATACTGTTGACTACACGGATTTTGTTCGTACAGATCACCGTCCACGCACAATATGTCGCCATGGGTCAGACAAGTATTCTTAAATTGGATGCCACGAATGTTGATGATGCGTCGAACACCGTACTCGACCCCGGAATATGACGATACGTATATGGATAGCGGATATACCAATGAAATAGATTTTAGGTAATTATTTCGGAGTTAAATATCAGGTTTCAGAAATAATTATTATAGCTTTTGTGATAGCGTTAGCGACTACCCTCTGGAGTTAAAAGGAAGTCCAGATGGCTTCGAGAGCGTCACCTCCCAGTATAAGAATATAAGGGAGGATGATGCCCGCCATATTCCACACGCGTCAGGTAAATGTCTATACAACGTTATTCGTAAAAAATTTTATTCTAACACAATTTTGCATTGGTATTTGCGAATGTCGTCGTACAATGAACCTATGAGTTTACAATAATTCTCCATTTACAAGATACCAAACATACATTGCGTATTATACAATAATGAATGAGCGTAGATATATTAAAATAAATTCTTATCACTCGTGAATATTTATGACGCGACAAATGATATTATAAAGTGTCATAAAATCTTTCATAACATACACACGAACAAAGATATGTCATTACAGTCACTGATAGCGAAAATACGATGCCGAGACACTTGTCCCCAGATGTCATATCAGCTCTTAAGGGTGTGCGCTTCATTGCTCAACATATAAAAAATGCAGACAAGGATAACGAGGTAAGTTAAATACTATACCTTTTAAAATATATTTGGGAATAAGATTTTTATTCCCAAAAAGTATTTACATACAATTTTCCTCGTTAATATATTATAATATTAATACTAAATCTTTAATCGATACGTCAATTTTTTTTTTACATTTTTAGGTTATAGAAGATTGGAAATTCGTAGCCATGGTTTTAGATAGACTTTTTCTTTGGGTTTTTACATTCGCATGTATCGGAGGTACGCTCGGCATAATATGTCAAGCTCCAAGTTTATATGATACAAGAAAACCTGTGGACCAAGATCTTTCTGGAATATCACTTCGTAATTATATGTACCCGAATTCAGAAGAGATTTTGCAAGAAGAATAAATTCTGAGATATATAGAATGTGCAATTTATGTACTAAAGTTGAAACATAAAAGTATTACATTGTTAATATCCTATTTGTATCAATTTTACCTATTTTATTTCATAAGATTGATTTTTATAAAAACGATATCTATTAGCAAACACGGTCTATGTAATTTCATTAACCCTGATCAAGTAGGAAACTTCGGTAAAATATCAACGAGAATATCTACGATTTAATAACGTAGTAACCAAGAAATACTGTAAATGGAAACATTTGCAATAAAAATAATTTATGTCTGACACTTCTGCTACCTTACTTATGTATCAAAATTATAACGAAACTTATACTATAACATAAAAGTAGATTTTGTTCTTTTGGGTGGTCCATGATTGGTATTCTATAATAACGTATTACAGTTTTCAAGACCTTGAAGCAAAATAAGATGAATGGTCAGTTTTTATAACTAAAAAAAAGGACCATCGAATTTAAATTATCAAAAGTAAAAATGTCATGAGTTTACTCACATTAATATTTATACAGCAATTATTTAATTCAATGATCGCATAACTAATAAAGTTTTGGTTTTTATTCTATACAAAACTTATATGGTAATTTAAGGTTTTGGCAATTTTATTGTAGTGTAGTATAAAAACTTCTATTCTAAATCAATTATCATCAATTCTGGTGATTCACTCGTACTGCTAATAGAACTAGTTTGCGATTTTTTGGGCGAAGAAGTACCACTAGCTACTTTCTTTGTACTTTGCGTTGGAGTAGTATGTTCATCGTCGTCATCGCTATCCGATATTAAATCAATAACAACCGCTCGTTTCTTCTCCTTCGGAGGTGTAAGAGTATTTTCATCTAGACAATTAAATAGTAATTGACAGTACAGAAAGAGGTCCAACATTTAAAAGCTCACAATTTTTACAATTTGTAAATTTATGGTGCAACCCCTTTATGGAAAATTGATATATAAAATAACTTACCCAGATCCACCGTATCCACGTCAATCTTGCGATTCTCTGTATTCGTAATAACTTTTGTTTCATTTTTATCCTTATCTTTCTCCTTCTTCAATACCAAATTCTCCCACGAACCATCTTGAAGTAATTGAATTTCATTCACATCGGGCAATAGTTTCTTAGAGTTTAATACTTCTTGAAAGTATCCGTCGATAACAAGATTATCGTACAACGCCGGCTTATCACAGACCGGACAATTCCACGTAGGTTTTCTTTCATTCATTTGAAGGAACAACGAAGCATCGAAACATTGCAAATGTGAACACGTCGACGCACGACATGGTGTGCTCATACGCATCTTTCCTAACGGGCAAGCTAACGATACTCTTAACGACGTCGTTGCTATTTCGCTATCTGCATCTTCGTTAAGCTTTTCTTTAACTATGAGGGACATTGTTTTAATGACATTTGTTTTTACACATTAACGAAATTTAAATAGCTGAATACATACTTAAGCCTCTTGTATAATCTGAATGACGGACACCTCTATTTTTTAATCTCATTAATAATTCTGCACTTGAAAGCTTTCTAACTAGATATATCGCAATCGCATATCGTCTTCCATAGTCAGCCGACCACGTGACATGAATTTGATTTCCTACAGTGGGAGATAATTTAACTAAGGGACTAATATTAACAGGCCGTGGTGGCCTCTTTGGTTCTACACCCGGTTTATTTGTAGGTATAGGATTCTGAAAAAAAAATAAATAAAAATGTTCTTTATAATTTAGCATTTATGATGCGTCAAAATCAAATGTCACTTCAGTTAGTTGCTTACAGGTAAAGGACACAACTTTCCATTTACTTTCACAGCAATACTTGGGGGAAAACAGTCTTCTTGTTCACAAGAAGTTTCTTGTAAACAAAATCGCATTTGTACCTGAAATGTCCACCATATAATTTTTTGAATTGTCAAAAAATAAAACCAAAAATTCAATGCTATCTCCGACAGTTATTTAAAAGTACCTGCACAGTATAGTCCATTTTACTTCCTGCACGACAGTCTCTTGAACTAGCTATATCAGTTGATTGTTGTGGTGTTAAATGAAACATAAATGTGTTCTCTTGAAGTCTCATGGACCCTTGGGGCATTAGACTAGATGGCTTTAACAGTTCAGCCAATAAATCGAAAAATGGAAGTTTTTTCAATCTAACATCTGGATGTATAGGATATTGGCTTCTGGACTGTATTTGCAATGGGGAGGGCAAAACTTTTGGTGGGTATGGATATGGATTATATGGAGCAGTTGATGTTTGCTGAAATGTTAAGATCTTCATAGTCACTAATAATATTCAGATGTTCTGCACAAAATTTTGTTAACTTACCTGTGGTGTTACACTAGTATATCCCGAGGATGGATATACAGGATTAGTTCTAGGTGCCTGAGGTATAGATGCTTGATGTGCAGGTGGTAGATCCTTCCCACTGGAAACTGAAGATTGTGACTGTTGCTGCTGACTGATTGCTTGTCTTCATATTAATTAAAAATAATGACCAATATTACAACACAATTTATATGATCAAACATTTGTTGTTTTGTAACTTCTTCACAAAAGCTACAGCACCTGTAGTTTGTGCACCTTATTATTGTATATTATATACTTACCTAGTGTAATAATTTCTGGAATGCATGTTTTGATCGATTTGTGGTTCTCCGGAACCACCTGTCTGACCATACATTTGATGTGCTGCCAATTGATCAGCTCTAGGAAATATTTTCAAATAAATAATCAAACTAATATTTTATCTGAAGAATCAGCTGATACAAGTAATATTTAAATAACAAAGAATAGTACAATGATTCCAAACAAGAGTATCAAGTATGTAAGTTTACTTTTATTTGTGTTTTATTATTATGTTCATAATAAAATGCATTTATAGAATATAGCAGTGCCACATAAATCAAGATCACAATAAATGTTCTCTATCACTCAAATTATGAAGGCAAGTGAATAATAAAAGTGATCAATATTATAAAGATAAAATGATCTTTAAATATAATCACATTAACTCTAACATACTTACTGTATTGTTTTATATAATTCACGTATTTTAAGTTGTACAGGATGTGATCTCAACCTTAACAATTCTAGAGCACGTGCTTGTAATTCGTTTTTTCTACCCGACTTATTTCTACCAGCAAAACCAAGAAGCATTTGTAGTTCAGAGACTCGAAAACTTAGAACCATATTCTGTAATCATAAAATGGAAATACTCGTACATTATAAAGACATTTGCAAGAAAAATAAAAACAATGATACAAACAAAATCAATATTACAAAAAAGTGCTATTGTTATAAAAAGCATTGTTTAATTGCATGCTAAACATATTTTTATTAATTTTTGCAATAAAAATATTATTACAAAAATGTAAGAAAAATTGAAATCTTACTCATGAAAATTATAGTCAAGTTTTTATTCATCGTTTATTCTACAAAAATCACGTACATAAATATATTTTATCAAAAACATATTGAATTAACAGTATTCCATAAGATAACAAAACAAAATTCGCTTTTATAGTTGTAATAAGTGTCCACCCCTAGTAACAGAACGTTGTATTTCATGTGATGAAAATAAGTGAAAATAATAAAAGAGTTTCTAAAAAATATTTTTATTAAAATAAAAAAGAGAATTAAGGTTACCTTCGAAAACGAAGATATTGTCGTACTTTATAAGCATTATTGGATAAATGCAACGCAATTTTAAGCACAGTATAATGAAATAAAAAAAATTCTATTAATTAACCTGAATATTTCACTGCAAAAAGAACATAATTACAACAGCGACGGAATTAAGCTTCTCGCGACAGTTTACTAAGCGTCTAGTAATATAATTCACTGATGCACATCGTAAATCGTTGATAACCCGGATATAACCACGACAAATTCACAATGCAGACCTGCCCACTTTTCTATGAAATTTCACACGTAATTGAACTTACACTACACCACTTTTAGTATTTAACTCACCTCCAATTCCTTCGTTTCGGCCATCTTCTTATACGGTTTCTTTGGTGGAGCCGTTTTGCCTGGATTATTTTGAACTTTCAACAGAAAACGGTTATTCGAGTTGTTTGTAACACAACTCGTTTCTATATTTTTCTTGTTCTTAAATGCAGTTACTGAATAATACTGTTTTATGGCGCGAAATTGATTTTTACATTTTATTTCCAAGGCCGCTCCGAAAAGTCTGACCTTCTGGGAAAAGCTCGGTTTTTATTGAGAAATTCTCAGTTCACCGGCATAAGATGAAGGGAATTATCAATATTTGACACTTTGTTCGTTCGAAATACGAAAAAGATTTTTCCAAGATGGCTGCCTGCAGTCAATTCAAAGCCTAACTTGAATTTTATGTAATACGACAAATTTACGGTATTGATATAATTTTTTAAATATCCACTACCTCCAGAAAGAGCTAGTAAAAATACACTAGTGCTTCACGTTAAATGTATAAATTCAAGTTACGCGGATTTCATTCAATTTTCATTAACTTCACGTAAAAAGAATGTTTGAATCTTCATCTATCAAATTGCAAACACCCAACCAAACAATTCGTATTTCTTTATAACTAATGAACAATATATCACTAAAGGTTATGTGGATACGATTTATTACAGAAACCTACACTTCTAGAAGTACAAAGTAATTTTTAAGATCCTCTAGCCAGTTATTTTGTTGTATTTGAATGCGCGATACGATAACGCAACACGATCATACGATGAAAGCATAATACAATACAAAACCCATAAATTGTCTATAGAACTTATCTTTATAGGGTTTTATCTTTACTTTGTACGCAACGTATTTCCACTAGATTATCTGCAATATGAGTGGAAAATATCTAGGGAAATAATACGTTTTGTTCTGATTTTATCTTCTCGCGTTAGTGACTTCCCTACATTAACCTATACGTTATTCCGCGAGAGAATCGGAGCGCTGAATGACGTATTTTCATTCATACTGCGCAGGTTCGCTCTGATTGGTCTGTCACTTTATGCATATTAAGGATAATGTGCATGCGCTCTAATGGCATTATGACGTCAAGTACATATACCGAGTGGTCATTTATTAAGCATACTCTCTTACAGTCCCATCTCTTGTCGTATCGTTATTTATTCGATAACAGATTTGACTCAAAAATGTATTTAAAATCACCATTCTGATATGTGTCGTATCATGTTTGTTGAATGTTAATTATTTAGCTGAAATTTCACCCAAACTTTTTCAAATACACCCAAAATCCGTAATCTTAGAGATCCGCACATTGGTGTTATTAATTATTCAAATATTTCAGCTCACCGTGTATATGATCACGAAATGAATAGTGAGGGATAGACTAACGCACTAGAGTGGTGATAAAAAGTTTTCTGAATTCAGCCGAGATGCGCAAACTATTATGCTTCTCTCGAGACACAGACTGTAAATGTTATGGCTGTTGTCTCATGAGGATGCTATGAAGATGAGCCATTATGCACATACCAGGTGTCGCACAATATGTGGTTCAAACAAAAGGTGCTCATTTTGTGTGAGAAAATCGTGAAAAATACAAATTGCAACCTTTTTTCTGAGGCTTCATTGTGAAGAAAGTCGAATTTGTTAAGTGTAAAATGTTGTTTGACAGAAAACTTGTGGATTGTTTGATGAAAAAATTTAGTTGCGTCATAAAATATCCATGCGTGCATCTATCTTGAAGTATTTGTATGCACCAATATTTAGAATGTAATTATAAATACATACATCCGTACATACGAAGATACGTATGACAATTCAAAAACATGGCTACCATGTGAAAAATAAATTAGTTACACTACAGTTTATAAACAAGTTTCTATTTAGTTTTTACGATAATTTTGTTTCGTGCTACCGACGAAACTGATCTGCCGTGAGAAAAACACAGTTCTTCGATGAAACTTGCAAGAGGTTGGCGCGGTTTTCGCAAGTGAAACATTCGTTTCATCACTGTAATAGTTACAGCTACATTTTAATATCTATTCAGTAATCTAACGGATTTCTAGAGAATAAAAGTACATCTACGTGTTAGCGTTCTACATGGTTGTGAAACAACATACATAGTTTTCGAGCGAATATTAAATAATGGTAACCTTACTTTACAATCTAGAGAAAGTTAGAACAAGTAACACAGAAAAATAATACTTGCAATACGTACACTTTGTACCAATCAGTCCAAGAATTAAAGATGTGAACTAGTTTCACGATTATAAACTGTTATGTATAACCTAAAAGAAGCAGACTGTTCGATGTTTTGACTGTTCAACTTAACCTATTTTCTAGACATATATGTGTACAGTTATACATATCGGCAAGTAAACAACTATATATTCAGAATTTATAAAAATTTCTGTTAAGGTTGTTAACTGATGGAGAAGAAATTATACTTTTCAAGTTTTGAAATTGACATTTGTATTGAAGAATAAATTTATACCAAATCAGTTTTATAAGAAGGTAATATATTTATTTAATATCTTTAACACATTATATGTGGGAAATACCATATACAATGTGTTAATTAATTTTAATTAATTTAAAAATTAATCTCATTCGTACATGTTGAGTTACAGACTGTATTATGTTAAAACATTAAATAAAGCAACTCATGCGAGGAAGTTTCTATGCATAATATTGTACTATACAATTCATAAATTGACCTCAATGGATTCCGCTGATTTTGATGCAATTATACGACATCCAAGAACTATCATTCACATAGATGTTGATTGTTTCTATGCTCAAGTGGAGATGTTAAGACATCCAGAATTTGAAGGTAAACCTTTGGGAGTACAACAAAAGAATATAGTAGTAACCAGCAACTATTTGGCACGTGAATACGGTATCAAAAAGTGTATGTCGGTTCAAGAAGCTTTAAAGTTATGTCCAGGTTTGAACTTAGTAAATGGCGAAGACTTAACAAATTATCGTCACTTTTCTGACAAAATCCTGGAAGTATTACATCAGTTTACTCCGTTAGTTGAAAGATTGGGTTTTGATGATAACTTTCTGGATGCAACATCCCTTGTACAGAAATACATGAATCCTGGTAATGAGTCTGACTTAAATATGAGTATTTCCATGGAAGATGAAACTCCAATTGGTGAAGTGTTTGGTTCAGTCGAAGAAGAATGTCCATGCGGTTGCCATGCTAGACTGATCATTGCAACCAAAATTGCTGCAGAAATAAGACAACGGATTCACAAAGAGTTACATGTCACTTGCAGTGCAGGAATAGCACATAATAAACTCCTAGCAAAGTTAGTAGGATCGTTGCATAAACCAAACCAGCAAACATTGATATTTCCATGCAACGCACCCGCGTTATTGTCGTCGATAGGATCCGTGTCCAAAATACCGGGCGTTGGCCAAAAGACTACGCAACTGTTGTTGTCTAATAACATAAAAACAGTGGATGATTTGCGTAAAACTCCTTTGGAAACTTTGGAAGGAAAGATTGGTGTCGACCTTGCAAGAAAATTGAAAGACAATGCCGAAGGAGTTGATGAAACCGTTGTGAAACCAACAGGAAAGAAACAGTCCATAGGATTGGAAGATGGTTTTAAAAGCGTCTCTTTGGTAGCCGAAGTGGAATCACGACTAGGAGTTCTTCTAAGAAGGTTGACAGAGTTGGCCATGGAAGATGGAAGGATTCCAGTGGCTATGAGATTAACGGTCAGGAAACACGATTTCAACAAACCATCTTCCGGTAAAAGGGAAACTCGACAGTGTGCTTTACCGAAACATCTGTTGCCGTCTTCGAAATCTGGCATTTACGACCACGCTAAAATGTTGGCGCTAGCGATGAAACTCTTTCATCGCACCGTCGACGTTTCTAAGCCATTCCATTTAACTCTTTTGGGAGTTGCTTTCACGAAGTTCGAGGAGAGATCTTCTGGAAAGAATAGTATTACGTCTTTTCTACGAAAACAGGTAGCCGTTCAATCCGTCTTAGACATAAGTTCAGAGGAAGGTGTATCCGATATTAGTCTGGGATCGCCGATGAGTACAAATCAAGATAGTAACGATGGTTCTGCAATGAGCACCACCTCGTCCCCAATCTCGAAACCTGTAGGTGCTAATAATCAGAGCGCGGACGATGATATACTGAACGAAATAGAACCTCTGCCGAAGAAGACCAGGCTGGAAGTGTGGTTAAGCGGGCGCAGAGAATCTCCAAGCAACGAAATGGCGGATCTCAGACTGAGTCCTTCGTCACCCATGCAGTTATCGCCGAAAATCGATGCGGCCGTTCTTAAATCCTTACCCATTGACATACAGAGAGAAGTGACACGTCCGTGGCCGACAACTAGTAAACCAAAACCGAATAATATATTGAAATACTTCATAGCCAATAAGTGACGGATTTACTGTGGCCTAGAATTATAATACAGCCATCTTTCTGTACACACTTCTACAGCTACAATATTGGATGGCAGCACCATGTGATATTATGAATTTAAGTTACTAATACTTTTAAATTAATTCGCAATTTCTGGGTATTCAAACATTTTCTGTATACACATATTTTCTATATAGCATTTATAATATATTAAACGAATGTTGATAAAAAGGAAATTCATCGTATGATTTTGGCCGCTTTAATCAATTGATTCGTACGAATGTATACAATTATCGTCGCTATTTATTTATTTTAACTAATCAGAAAATTGTTTAGAATGAACGAAGTTACCTTGCATTTAAAGTAAGACGAAAATAATCAAATGAACGATGTAAATTGAGTGTTGACGAAAAGTATTGTTCTTCTTTTCCTTTTTTTAAGTATCATCTTTCATTATAAGTCGACGAAGCAAATTTTTATGTAAGTTTCGCTTTTACCTTCCACAACGTGAATGCATATAGGACCGGCACGAGGTGGTTTTAAAACGATTCCCAAAACTTAATCTCAAACTTTGTGGAGTTACATGGCATAGTGCGCTCTCGTTATATTGCCACGGAAATTTTACAGCAGAAAATTTAGTGTAGTTTACCAAAAGATTTCACACTTGAAATTTTATATATTCTATGAAAATTTGTACACTTAGTTCTTACATTTTATACACATTTTTGAAATCCGTGAAAATGGTGGCAATATAACGAGAGTCTACTGTCCCGTATGTGTATGGGTACTTATAAACTTTAGAAGTGTTTTCCATCTCCACAAACATTGTCGCCGGTTCTAGATGCATACAAAGTCGATCTTTGCATTTTTCAAGTAATTGTTCTGATAAATAGAATGTAACAATAAGCATAGGGTAATTCTACTTGTAATTTAAGTAATTTCACGTTAAGATTTAACATTTCCTTTTTCTACAAGTATTTGAGCAGAAACGAAATAAAAGTATTTATGTTCGATCTACGCGCGGAATTTTTGAAAATGCGCGCGTACTTTGTAAGGGAAGTCCATGGCGTTAAATAGGGTGCTGGCATTTGATTTTGTGCTTACTCTGTTACATTATAATTGTATGATTTAAAGTATAACGAAAGAAGAGAAAAGGGAAAAAATGTTTCTATTTTTAGTACTATCAATGTTATATTTCTATATATATTGTAACGGGGCGTTGCGAAAGATGCGCCGTGCAGAAATACTCAATCGCCCCTATCGTACTATTGGTGAGGAGATCCGTTCGAATGTATAAGGCATAGTTATACGTACATATATTATTACAGTTATCCAGAATATTAGACAATCATGAAGTTCTATCGGTTTGGTATGGTACAAGGTGGTTAATTATAATACGCGATTGATTAAAAATAAAAGAAAAATAATAAAATAAGCCAGCGATCCAAGCTGTTCAGATGGTTATTGTAACACCTTTAATTTCGTACGATTTACTTAAAAAAATATAAAAAATGAAAAATATGCCTGCGTTGAAGCATGACCGAGGGCAAGTGATACTGACACAGTAGCTTTTGTAAACTGAATACTTACATATAAGGGTACGGACGATTTATATATATATATACACACACACATACTTACACGGAGCGTTAAAAAAAAAACACAGAAATTATATACACGATATAAAAGAGATTACTTACGGCCGAGCTTCTGTTTTTCTTTTTCCTACGTTTTATTTATTTACTTGTATGCACGGGAGAAATGGTACTTCTCTAACTATTCATTTCTGGTTGTGAGAGTTGATAAAAATATTTTATACGTACACAACACGGGAAATATGAACTGTTGCGATACATGTAGTGCTCTTGTTCTGATTAATTCGAATAACGCGCAATAGTTCACACTTCTCAGATAATTGCATTGATACTGGAATCGAGAAAAGAAGCGATGAAATTGCCTTTTACACGAGCTACATCCACGGTTCATATTACCCGATTTTATTCAAATAAAGGAAGTTCAAGTTACATGTTCTTTGTATATTGTACAAACGTCCTTGTTCCCTGTTTCCTACTTTCTTAGTAGAAAAGCTGGTAGCAAACATAGACATCCAATTCATATTGGACACAATCGGAAGGTAATATAAATAAATTTCACAATAGAATGAATCATCCGAGATGGTATCTCCTTTTAAGACGTATAAGAAACATTTTTCGTATGCGCATTATGTCCCTGTCCCAATCCGAGTGTCCAGTCATATTTAAGAGTAATATCGTTTTAATTTGACTGCACAGTGCGTTCGTATATGACGCCAGAATTAGACCCCCTAACGCTGCCATACAATTTGAATGAGGCCAATCACCCAGACACCGTCTCTGAATGGAACATAATCAGGATGAGTCATGTCATAATGGAATAAATTGTCCAGCTTTGTGCTTTTTTATATTGTACCGCGTGCTCGTTTAATAAAGATCTCGAATATCTTTCATTGATTAAAACGACGCGAATCAGACGAGTATTTCATTTTCGAAATTAAAGTCCTGCTGAAAGATATCACGTCCACGATGAATCATAGCACGATTTGTCAGTATTTAAATATTTTCGTGATTTACGAAAAGATTATGACGATGTGTCATCTTATAACGAGTAAAATGAATTATGTTTGAATGAACAGAATGGAATATCCAGCCCTCATTTAGTGGAAATTGTCTGTTTTCCTCTCAAAAGGTAGAGGTACCCGTTCAACCTTAGTCTTAGCTTTTATCATAGTGCACGTGAGATACATCAGAATGAACTTTTTCGTAAGTAATATCTGACCCAAATTTAAATGTCCAGGTGCGTATTCCCACGGTCATTAAGTACATACTTGGTATAAATACCCCTCGAATGCCTTCAGAACGTCAGCCTAAGTTGTCATAGAAAGTTCACAATGTTCCTATTTTGCGTACTCGTCACTGTGATACTTGGAGCGTCAGGTAACAATACTTCCCAAAATTATAAAACTTCCTACTCAAATTTTGAAATTACAGCGGCACCGAGTGATGGGCCGAAAATCGTGGGCGGCACCCTAGCAGAAGATGGACAGTATCCTTACCAAGCTTCGCTTCGGTTCAGAAACCGTCACTTCTGTGGAGGGTCGGTGCTGAACACGAGATGGATACTGACGGCGGCTCACTGCTTATCGAGGTTAAAATTCAAATTACTGTGCTTGTCGTTTTTAACGCAAATATTTGTTTTAACATATAATTGCAGTTTCAATGACACGGCTGTAACCGTGGTGTTGGGTACGAACGCCCTGGACAAAGGTGGCGACGAGTACCAGTCCGAAAAAGTAATCGTTCATCCGAGATATAGCTCCGCGTTGATCAGAAACGATATCGGGCTGATTAAAGTGGACAAGGACATTGTTTTCGGGGATAAGGTGAAACCAATCGCTCTGCCCAACGAGAACTTCAGTAAAATCGATTATCCTGCTACGTTATCTGGCTGGGGTACCACTAGCGTAAGTATCTTTCATTACCTTTTTCTTTTATATTGTATTCATGTGTACTTATTTTGTTTATCAATGGCTGCGCCATGGACTGGAACCTCCTTGTGCTAATTACGCACCCAAGTATCCCGGTCAAACGCCAAACGAGCTGTATCACATTGAACTGAGCGTGATCGATCAAAAACAATGTTTAAACGCCAGCTTTCGGATCACCAACGACAATATCTGCACACTTAACAAGAGGGGTGAAGGCGCTTGTCACGTAAGTGCATTCACAGTCTAGTCGAGTACTCGAGAAGAGGGCCCTTTCACGTCAAAGGATCCCTCAACCAAAGCGGCACTTTTTTCTTCTTATTTGTAGTCGCGAAAACCGTGTCGACAAGAGCGTAACAATAAGCACCATTCAGGTTCCACTCACCTAGTTCGATAGAATTACTCTAAGCACGCAGGATGCATCGCGTGCACCCTCTTTTGACTTTAAGATACAGTCTGATTGTACTACTTTCATTTGTTGTCGTTTTATAAGGTTCTTTGGTAAAATCAATACCCAAGTTTTGCGGTGTCAATGACCAATCTTTGGAAGGGTTACACTAATAATATCTAAATTTATAAATTCCTGTGCTGGGAAATAAGAAAGTATTTTATTTTTGAAGGGTGATTCTGGTGGTCCTTTGGTCGCTGATAATGAACAAATTGGAGTGGTGTCCTGGGGGATACCGTGTGCTAGAGGTCGTCCTGACGTCTTCACTCGTGTCTACAGCTACAAGGATTGGATAAAAAAATACGTTGAAAATGAAAATTAATTAGCGTCATTTCATGGATCACATATGTACAGTATACATTTGTATATGTATGTAAATATAATATTATGACTGATGTATATCAGTCTATACAATGTCTCACAATTAATTTAATGAAAAATGTAAAAAATAAATACGTTGTTTGGCAAAGAACATCAACCTCTTTTTATGGTTCCGGAGAATATTAAACAGCTGTAAACCGTACGCCCTAAAGACTAAACAAACGTGCCTGAATCTAATGACCGTCCGTACACGTTTGCCCAGCTTCAGTTCACGGGAAAATAATCTTTTATACATAATTTTTTCTACTTTTTAAACTATGCGCGTGCTGGTAATTTATGTTAAATTAAGTACGCTGCAGCGCATCCTACGCTCGTGCAAATATACTTTAAGGTGACACTAATTTTACATCCCATGTACTCGAATTAATGTCACACGTATCTGACGCATTAAATTAGATAGATCATTTAGATAGTGCGTAATATTTATCTGGGAAATAACAGAACTCGGTGAGTACAATAAACGTGAGCAACGCGTAACAGTACAAATAACAGAATCTTTTAATTAACGTTTTTTTATTTTGTTTTATTCTTCATTTTTCCTACAATTATAATCAGACTTCCCAGGAAGTTTCATAAATTTTAGATCTCGTTTAAAAAAGTATTTTCAATTTATTTAACTATGATATAATTAAAGACGTCCTTGATAGTCCGCAGTAAAAAATTCTTGAATCGCAATTTCGGTCAAGCGTCGAATGACCTGAATTTAATGGCGCATGTCCGAATTGTGTGCATCGAAAATCGTTTCAAGAGCAACAAGGATGTTGCACATAGCAACATATCCTTGCACGCGAACCGCGGATGTCCCTGCGATCTAAAGATCAAGTCGTCAAATTTATGATTCAAGTAATAAGAATAGTAGAACGGAAACATCAAAGTGTAAGGATACTTTTCCGCGACTTTAATCGCGTAAAAATCGCGGCAACTTTGAAATCTGACTACACCACTGGTAGCACTTATTCGAAGATTGCCAACATCGAGGCCAAGGATGCTACCCCGACCTCGCCAATGTTTTCAAACCTCTTCTATTCTGTGACCAAGTGCCAACAGTCTAGCCGTGCAAAACCTAAAACGAGAATCGTACTGATATAGTGACATTTTTCTCAGTTACCAAGTGGAAACATCGCCGATCGTGACATAATAAACAAGTAAAATTCTGCAGAGTATACAACTGTCATATATAACGTATGACCTAAATCGCGACGCGCATGCGCGGTCGAGCAAGGACAGTTTCGAGGGTGTGTTTTCATCCCCTGGTGTTTCGCAGAAATTCTCAGTGCCGTGTCTGTTCTTGTCATTTCGTGGTAAAAAAAACGCAACATCGTGGCTTGAAAGACGAGGACCGTGCCACCTGCTGGAGCTTAGCGTGTATTGTCTAAAATCGATGTCGCCATCCTTGTCTTTCGTCTTCCGATCAGTGTTAGCAGTTTTGCGCCAATGAAATATGAATACGATGGAAATCGTACACGGGGTATTGTGTTAACGGTGTGACTAAACCTTTCGTGTTTACGGTGAAAAGATAGCGAAAACCGGTTTAACATTGTTGTCGAATTTCTACGCGAAAAAAATCTCGAATGTTATCCGCGCGGATTCGCTAATGAGATAATTCGATAACCTAGTGTGTACAGATGAAATTCGCGTGTCTACCGAAATCTTAATAATTATTGACCGTAAAATTAACGAGGGTTAATGTACCGATAAACGTATCGTCCGCTCGATACGACACAATACTAATACGGTTTTGTTTTGTGACATGTGTCAAGGATGCATTCGTATGCATCGATTCTATTGTTTACATTCGCGAAGTGTGACAATGTGATTGTTAAATAGAATCTGCGAATACATCTGTTCACATTAATGTGTATATTATTACGCCTTGACGTCGTACAGTTTTTAAATTAGAAGTATATACGTGTGCATATGTTTGTTTATTATGCTTCGTTATTTCAAAAATCAGACGCTATCGTGAACAGCCGTACGATATCGTGGATTTTGTTGCACTTAAGTAGCTGTATCATGGTGCTTTGTTAGTGTGCATATCACGCTCGTGTACAATCCTTGGGACGCCATAAATAATATATCGCGCCAATATTGCTTATACACCAAATAAATTATCATCCGAATTTATCAACGGAAGCTTCATGAACTGCTGTCCATTCATGTAAGTATGTGACCAGTTTTTCTAATTATAAGGGACACGTATATTCGAACAATACGAACTTTATGTGATAGTATGTGACTCGCATGTTAGGAGTTGATAAAAATGGCGATAAAAACATTTACACTTCGTTTAAAAACTTCATCATCTTTGAATGTATTAAAATTCAAAATAATATAGTGATTAATCAGAATTATTCCTTGATTATACATTTTGCGAAAACAATTTCATTGGTGTCACATTAAAATAAAGTATAATAGGATTTTTCACATGTAGGATGTTTTTAATCAATTTCTAGTGGTAATATTTAATATTCTATTAAAGTCGACTATAAAAAACAGCCATCCAAAGGCTGGTTAGTAGCAAGTGCATGTAAGCAAAACATTCAGTGTATAGCATACACCATCAACCGCTACACCTTTTAACGGGCGACTGCGCAGTAGACAATTCAGCCGTCTGTATGGTCGTGTATACCTCGCACAAGCATACCATGCATTTCTTCGTCTTTATACCACCGTTGGTGCTGTGCGCCTCCTTACCCTTCAACAGACGCGTGTATCTCTCTTTCTTTATCGTTGCTTTCTCCTGTATACTTCCTCTCACTCTCGTGGTAAACGCTTGACGGTGCGCCAATACTCAGGGACGTATTATTTCGCGCACAGCGTGTAACAAACTTTAAACAGTTTCTATTTTATTCTATTATTATTAACCCACGGATACCCATTTTGGCCCAAAAAACAATAATATGTAAGATGACATAGTACAAAATCTCATATTATACCACAACGTGTTCTATAGCCTCGCATTATATTACCATGCGTTGTATTGTCCTGCAATTATATCAATACGCACGGTATATCCACGCGTTATAGTCTCGTGTTATATTACCACGCATTGTATCCCCGCATTGTACAGCCTTGCATTACAATAGCTCATTTCACGTTTTTCTAAAATTCTCTCAAAATCGAAAACACTGAAAGATTCTTTTCTCTGTTCTTACTTAAGGAATCCTGGGTGGCATTGAAATATACCTGGACTGTAATAACTTAAACCAGTGTTTTTCAGGATAAGAGGGTAGCTTTTCAAAATTAACACAAAGGCGCCTCGCATGCGCATAGTGGCTCTGAGAGGTAGATAGTGTGTTTGAACCGATATTGTATGGGTTAAAGGAGATTTTGTAATTGTATGATTAACAAAGAAAAGAGGAAAAGCGTATCGATAAATCATAGCCGCTGGCGCCCGTATAATGTACTTATCGTTTCGTCCCTGGTGTGGTGCCGGCTGTGGATGCAGGCGAGAACGTGCGCAGCTGTAAAACGTGAGTCGCTGCGCTCAGCAGCTGATGCGGTTCGTCGTTGTCCGTGGCTGTGTTTGTTTGGAAAAATGCGACAGAGAAACAACGAATTTCGACAGTATCATTGTTACTGTTCGAAGAACATAGATACAGACGAAAACTGGAAGATCTGTCGCCAGTGATAGTGACGATATAACGGGACAGAAATTCAAAATGACAACTAAAATTCGCGGAGACAAACAATCGCGAAAGTGAAATAAAAATAACTTTAAAAATGATCGATTATATTTTCTTTTTGTATTAAATTCTTTGAGTATCGTTTGAAAGTTATGCTCGGTCCATTTTTCGGGATATAAAGTAAAGATTCCTCTTGGTAACTATTTCCGCATCGACAGATATTAAGAACGAAAGATAGACAAAGAGTTCTCGTCGGCATATGCTTTGTGTGTTCGGTGGCTTCTTTGCGATGAACATTCTAAAAGAGGTGTCGTGTTTATAAACAGTATTTCGTATGAACGTGTATTTCGCTTTGTTTAAAGTAATCGATGCAAATTGAAGCATCGATTAATTTTATGTACGAGAATATTATAAACGTAAAAAATGAATTCTACTTAGAAAGTATCTTAATTAGTTAGCATTTTGAAAACACAATGTTTTTGTTGTTATAATACGTTTTAATATTTAAATTCATTTCTTCGGCACGGTGATACAAAATGAAAATCATCGATTGAAATCATTAGTATTGACAAGTTTATTTGTTAATGAAAATTTATGCGAGGTGTAAGTGGCATATTCCGATGCAGATACCCCGCTAAAACGTGTGCTATGTAACGGATGTATACATTTCTTAAAACGACAACAGGGCTAACTCCATTATGGAGGCACTGCGTTTAGCCATACAGTGAGTTTATTATTCACAAAATGTTTTTATGAATATTACCCTGTAATTTGTTCACTATTTTCACACTTTTATTACCTATTTATTTTGAAGTTTAAAGCGGACCGTCAACGTCAAAATGCGTCCACGCATTCGCGACACTTAAACTTTTGCGACACACTGTATAATTTTTATTTTTGTAAAAAATAGAATGTGGCATTGTCATAACAATTGAATATCAATTATGTAAACTGTATTATTTAACTTGGTGTTTCATTTATATTGAACATTGTTATAATAAATAATTATTTTTTTAAATTTTTGTACTGAATTTATTTGTATAAAATTATATAAATATTCATGATTTTATTTATGTTTTTTCAGCATTATACGCATAAAAATATTTCTGTTTTAGATATAGTATTTATTTGACATTGACCTAGCAGTTGAAGAATGAAACTTATTTTGCAATAATTATAACACACTACATACCCACACTTACTCGACCACTTTCTTTTTTTCAGATACTAAACATAATATTTATTTTACAAGTATGATATAAATCAAGATCTATTTTTTTTTACAGGACACGGCTAGGGGAGAGGATGGTTAGCATGAGCTCTATGCTCGTAGAAACAGTCAGCATAAACTATGAAGACTTTAATGAAAGTTTTTTAACATGCGGTACATGTCTTTGCGTTTATGATGGCGGAGAGCATACTCCTAAATTGTTACCATGTTCACACACGGTAAGGGAATATAAAATAAACAGATATGGATAATTCATTTATTAATTTTTTAAATTAATAGTTTATGTATTCTGACTACATAGGTATGTTTACATTGCTTAACAAGAATTGCTGCATCTCAGACTCGTGAGACTGGTGCATTTCGATGTCCTATTTGCAGGGAATTGATAACAATTCCTCGTGGTGGAGTTCCTGCTTTACCACCAAGTTTCCTTGTAAATCAACTTCTTGATCTTATGTCCAGACAAAGACGAGAGGTATGAAATAATATCCATATACTTTATATCTATGTGTTATTAAACATATCATTAACATTTCCTTTATCTTTGCAGGTTATCCCAAAATGTTCAGTTCACATAAATCAAGAATTATTATTTTGTGAAACATGTGATACAGTGTTTTGTACAGTATGTACAGGTGGTAATCATACAGGAACATCACCAGGGTGTACAGAACATACTATTATACCTTTTAGTATTGCAATAAAAAGAATGTCTGAGATTTTACTCTACAAAGCTAACGAATGTATATCTAAGGTAATAATTGATTACATATTTCTGGACAATTTAAATTTTTGCTCATGGAAGTTTATCCTTTACAAAACATTTATGGATTGCAGTTAACACAAGCTCAGGATTCTGTAAGTACAGAGTTGCAACGTTTGGAAGCTTCTACGGAAAGATGTTTGAATGCTGTAGATAATGAATTTACAGAAATTATTGCAAAAATTGAAAGGAGACGAACTGAATTACAAGCAGCTGTTACTGCTGCAGCAAGAGACAAGAAACATGTACTAGAAGAACAACATGCTCTTATAGAAGCTGAAAAGAATAAAGTACAACGTGAATGTGAAGGCTTACAATATCAAGTATGATATTCTTAACAATGATTGATTAAAATTTAATGTGTTTAATGATAAAACATAATAATAATTTTCCTTAAAGGTTGAAGTACGAAATATCACACAAAGAATTGGTAGTTTATCCGATCAACTTGATGCAGCATCAGCTCTTAGTGAACCTAAAGAAAATGCCTTTATTACCTTTGAATTTAATCACAATAATGCACTTTCTCAATTAGAGGAAGCTCTTAATAACTTAGGAAGAGTACGTTCTAGTACAACATTGCCAGGTATCCTGAGGATTGAATATACAGTAAAGTACCTGCTTCAAAATTTGTTATTAATCGTTACCTAAGCAATACTGCTATATGTTTTTTTAGAATTATTCGTCTAGAACAAAAATGGTATTCTAATTACGAATATTTCAAAATAGGTTCATGTAGAGCCAGGTTGAAAGACCCTGCTATAGTTAAATTACAAGCAACAGTAATAGTAGAAACTGTCGATTATCATGGGCATCCTAGGAACGTTGGAGGAGATCTTATTACTGCGGAATTAACTTTTGCAGACAATATCTATTCAGAAAACCAAAGTACTAGTATCGATACCGAAATCATAGATTTAGATAATGGTACATATGAAGTACTATTTCGACCTCCACGTGCAAGTCGTTACGTCTTGAAATTATCAGTTTTCGAACGGCCTATTAAAGATTATCCTTTATTTTTTGATGCAACCGAACATAATGAACCCATTAAGGTATATGGAAGGAGAGGAAACGGAAAAGACGAATTCCATCAACCAGTAGCAGTTGCTGTTGATGATGATGGAATGATATATATTTTAGATACTGGGAACTCGCGTATAAAAGTATTTCAAATTATAATTTATCTCAAATTATAAATTATTGAACATTCCAGTTTTCTTTTTTATAGATAATATTATATTTTTAGGTACTCAATTGTGATCTAGAATTTCAAAGGCATATAACTAATGAGGGTCTTGAAGGCCGCAGTTGTACAGGAATTGGTATCTCTCAACAAGGACTTGTTGTTGTCAATTGGAGAACACGAAAAGTAACAGAAATGAGCACTCTAGGTGATACTATTAAATCTTTCTCGCATAACGCATTTCAAGTTAGTATTATTTATTTTCAAATCACGTACAAATTTTAATTTATTTATTGACGATTTTATTAATTTGACTATCTAGGAACCAATCGATATTGCAGTAGACAGAAGTTACGGACATATACTTGTAGCTGATATTGGTCAAAGTTGTGTCTTTGTATTTGATTCTGATGGGAAAATTCTCTTTCAGGTTGGATGATATCTTCATTCTTTAAGCTTGGTACTAATCACTGTGTAGTGTACACATTTTTAAAGAATTTTAATTAACAGGTTGGAAAGAGAAGTACATTTAAATTGATTAGTTCTATCACTGTTGGACCTAATGGTGAAATTGTAGTCGCCGACAGTCGTATTCAAGTATTTTCTGCTAAAGGAGATTTTTCAGAAGAAATATATTCTGAAGGCAAAGGTAGGTCTCAAGTTTTTTGTCACAAATATAATAACGTAAGTGAACTTATATTTTACAATATTTGGTTTTGTTTTATGTTACAGGAAAAGGCGCTTATGGAGGTTTGGCTGTTGACGCTGAAGGTAGAATACTTGGCACTCGTACTGATAAAGGACGCAGTATAATTCAAGTATTAAAATTAGGAGGAGGTAACATTTTAACTGAAATTGATTCGCATAGTTCAAAATTACGACGTCCTTCAGGTATTGCGGTATTACCTGACAATCACTTAGTAGTTGTAGATTTGGGAAATGATTGTATAAAAAAATATAGATATTGGTAAAAGAATTCGTTTCAAAGTATCAAATTTATCTTATGTCCAACAAAAATGATTCAGATTACATACGTATACCAAATACTATGTGTTTAATATAGTTTAAATTATTTAATTTTTGAAAACATTGATTACAATTTCACATATACTTTCTGTGTCCGTTTTTCGTAAACTTTTTTATATCCATTTAAAACTTCACAGACCTAGATGAATCAAAATAATTGTTTAGTGTGAAGATATATTAATTAAATTTAGTATGTGTTACGTATACGTACGTATATGTAATACTTAAAACAATTTATATAAGTTTATTTATGCGTTAGTTTTGCGACTTAGGTCGTTTTCCTAAAATAAAATAGACTTGACTAGTATAATGCAATTTATAACACTTTATGTTACTACCATAACTTTAATTATTTTGATATTTTTATCCTATTTAATATTTGAAGGTACTAGGTATTTTACACTGCCATAGTTTGATATTTTAAATCCACAATAGCAATCACAAAAATCACGTATTTGATAGAAATATATGTGTATAAATGTAATAATAGATAGGCTCTTAAAATTCGTGCATAAGAAATTCTGATGAAAATCTAATTTTAGGCATTAAATCCTGAAGTTCCATTGATTAGAAAGGTTTAGACTAAGATGTCAGAAATTTTACAATAGATAATTTTATGTTCCTTCTGCATTTAATTTCACTTCATATTTATTAACGTAATTCATGAATAATAAAAAAAGAATGAAAATGAGCTTTGCAACTGGTAAATAATTTAATATTTGCAATTATTTTTAATATTTATTATTAAAAATATTATAAAATTAAATTGTGTGCTAAAAATTAATATTGTTTTTTAACAAAAATTTTTAGAAGTATAGATAGTAAAACAGAAAAAATTCAATATACCTCACCAAAGGAACTTTATTCAGAAATAACATCATATCCTTATGTACAGTTTTCTACTTTTTATTGACAAGTGTGCTTAATTAATTTCTATTGCACCATAATTCTGCATTTCATATTTATTCAATAGTATTCCAATATTTTTTGATACTATAAGGTAAAACTTTATTTTGTGAATATCAAAATGGTGAAAATTATTTTCATGTCCTCTTTTTATACTTAGAAATATTTCATAGTACTTTGTTAGAAAACCCTTAAGAGTATATTGCAAAGTACTACTTAAATGTTGTTATCAGAGAATTATCTTTTATACATTGCAATTAAAGTCAATATATTTATCTCGTAATACATGTTTTATTTTGATAACTCATTAGCTGTATTTCATAGATGTTACAGTACTTCAATTTGGATAACCACCCAAAGCAGTTTGTATTTTCATTGTGTACTCATTAAACCTTTTGATTCATCAATGCAAAAAGTGACTAGTGTATTATAAATAGATAAGTGAATAAAAATAAACTGAAATATGTACTAATATTTTTCCAGTATTATTACAGATTGAAATAAGACACTTTATTTGTATAAATTTGTCTTGAATTTTGTATAAGATACAATAGGCAAACATATAATTTATACGTAAATATATATATAAATGAATAAATATATATATTTATTTATGTGTAAATTATTACAAATAATAATATACAGAACCATGGAAGACATCACTTTGAAGGTATTATGTTTTACTATGTATTTCACATATGAACTTTTTTATTATGTTATTGTCACAGCTTTTTCTGGAACTTTGAAATCCGGATTGATAGAATACAAAGTGGAAAAATATTGAAAGTTATTATAATTACATTTATAAAATTTTTTTGGAAGTGTTACTTTTATTCCAATGTTCATTTTATCTATTACGTACATGCACATATAAATGTAATTATATAAATGTAGTATATTATACCTTTAAAATATTTCAGTTATTCTAATACTACATTATTTACTTAATCATTACAATAGGGTCATTTATGTTTCTAACTAATATTGATAATTAATACTGATTAATTAAAAGGGACTGGTATACAATTTAGAATACATTATGTATGTTGTGTTCAATTGTTTTAAAGTGAAGTTAAAATATAAACAATTATAATTAGAACAATAATATTGTTGCACTATACAAATGTTTACATTATGTACAATACTTCACTACAATGTGCTTATCACTTTGATAACATTATTATAATATTATAATAGTGTATTCTAGATTTCTAGTGTAGTTACAGAATTGTTGTAGAACTTTAAATCATTCATTAATAATGTTATCACAAACCATTTTAAAAGAATAGATAATTTTCAGTAATTGGTGCATGTATAAAGCACATACAAAGTTTTCTTTTTATTTATTAAAGAAATATTAATGATTGATCATTAGTTTTAGTACTAATTATGACTAAATTCTTTAACAAATAATAGACAATTATACTTTCAGATAATTATTTTTGGAACTAATGTACAGCATTCTTCACAAACTGATTTGCACAGTGATTTAATGTTACTTAAAAAGTTTTCATATATGTATATACATACATGTGAATATGTATGTATGTACATACATAAATACAAATTAAACATAAGAGTATCATCTCAGCCTTTAGCGTTAAATATGGCAGTGCCTTTATTAAACAAATTTCCATGCAAACCTATTAATTATGTACGAATTTTGATGTTGATTTTAATATTATTTTTAAACAAAAAATACGTGACAAGTGACTTAAAATCCAATAACATAAATTAAATTATGATTTAGTATGTATATGTATAACATGTATGTCACTACTTTATAATTATTTAATTAACTCAATGTGAAAATATGGAGACTATATAAATTTTTGTTTATAGCATTGTTTTTGGTTTAGTTTTTACATTTACAATTGCTAAGTGTACTAAATACAGTTGAAGTAATTATCAGTCCATACTTTTTATTTTTTCATGCATTTTCTAGTGTACTGGAAGCTTTGACTGATGTGTTTAATTTAATTTTGATATTATTTAATCTAGTCAGATTAAGAAATTAATGTAATGAAATAATATCGTATGTTGTAAAATATATTGTAAATAAATATACGAGTTTAATTCATAAGAAGATATTTCTTTGTCTTCGATCTTTTTTATGAAATCAAATATTTAACAATTTTAATAATCACTTCTTAACATTTGCATGTTTCGTTGATATATAATCATTGTGTGAAAGATATATTTTTCTCTAAAAATTTTAATAAATCCGCTGGAATCGTCATAAAAATCCGATAACGCCAGTAATATCAATTAAGCCCGCGCGCAACGTTAAAATTCGATAGTAGCTCATCCAACCGATCGCTCGAGATTTCTCCTCGCGAGAGTATCGAATGAACGTAGCGTGCACGCGCCGTAGCTGAAAAACGTAAGCTGGATACTACGCCTGTACTAGTGTAGTACGTGCTCCGTACACGAAAGTTATTCACACACGCTATTCATCGGCTTGTGCACCTCCATTACGTACATAACGTGAAACGTAAGACGCTACATACTGGGTCTATACGTGTGTCGTGCAGGTATATATAAGCAGTTGCGCACGTTCGTGCACGTACATCAAAACATACTTTCGATTAAAACGTGATTCTGTGCGAAACAACGATTTCCGTGATCTTCAACGAAATTTAATTATCAGTTTACGATTGTGAGTGCATAAAAGTGACTCGTAAGTGTTGAAAATAAACGATATTTCGTGATATAAGGTCGTAATAATCGAGAAAGGGTGAATTTGAGCGTCACTGTACACTCGGGTGCAACGTAGGCTTCCTTTGGATAAGGACGAGGGTAGGGGGAGGAGCCTCCTACTACGTGCCTTCGATTTTAGGAGATCAAATATGTAAATTTGAGAAATTTTTTAATCACCAAACTTCTATATTTTCAAGTCTCCAAATCCCCAAATTTTTGAATTCTCTAATTTCCAAACTTGTAAATTTTCGAACCTTCATAAGTCCAAATTCTTAAATTTCGAAATCATAAAATTCTCAGTTTCTCAAATCTTTGAAATTTTCAAATTTTCAGATTTTTAAATTTTGAAACCAGAAAACGTACGACTCTTAGCAATATTTAAATTTGAAAATTTAAAATTAAAAATCATTAAAATATTTCTAACTTTAAAAATTCGAAACTTCCAATTGCTCGGTCGAAAGATGAAAATTTCTGAACTTGTAAATTTGTTATTGAACTTGAAGTTTCCAAATCTCTAAATATTGAAAATTACACATGTGCGTAAGGACGCACGTAGTTGTTTGGTATTAACAAAAAAATCTGTATTAATCGGTGATTTCTAGTTCCTCGTAATTGGCGGTACAGAACATACGCAGAAAGCGACCAATGAAATTTAGGCATCGGCTATTAGGGTCCCCCTCTCATGTCAGCTTCGCTCTCCTCGTCCCTAATCCAAGCTTCCACTCCATCCCTATATTCCTAGGTCCATGACTGTGCTCGCTACTGTACAAGCGCGAAGAAGAGAGAGAGAATGAAAGAACAATAGAGGGAGAAAGCGATAGGACGCTAGGTACGGTGCTACGGTGTTAGTGAATGGAACGCGGCCCCCACGGGTGAGCGTAGTACGACGCTCCACGGGCTAGCGTTGCAACCAATGACCAGCCGGGACGGGCGATCACGTGACGTGCGTGCCGAGCCAGCAGCAGAACATTGCAAATGACAAGACGCGTAGGGCATTGTCGTCGCGCCGCCGCTGCCACCGTTCCCGTTCTCGTTGTTGGTGAATTCGTCGCGTTACCGCCGTTCCTGCTGCGACTGTCGCTGATGAGATCTCGCCCGCCGCCGGGAAGCCGAGCATCGTAAAACGATCGGAAGAAATCTGTCCTCGCTGTCGGCACCACCGCTGTTGTCGCCGCGTGTGCGCGACAAAGTCGCGGGTGCTCGGAGGCCTCGTGCCCTGAACGGTGCCCGCGGCCCTCCGTCCTTAATAAAAC